GTCATTCGCGAAACGCATCCTGGCCCTAGATGAAATATGGGTGGTCTTGAACTCCGAGCCATCAAGCGTCAATTTCAGATGAGTGCAGAGATGCAAAGCACCTCAAATTCCGTCATGACGAATTACGTGGACCCAAGTGGATGATCATCATGGCGAAGGATTCCTGCACTGTGGTTCCAAGTAGCTCTACACAGAACAAAAGCGTCGCTGTCGGACATTGCTTGTTTCTCGACAATCAATCGACAAATGGATGGTACCACACAACTACAAGAAGGCCACCGTTGCTCGTCATAGTGCCAGACCCCGAGTAACTGTATTGTAGGGCAGTGCTGGGACACAAACAATACTGAGACCTGGGTTCAATCGCCCCATTCGCCCAACATAAAGCCGTTCGATTTCAACTGTTCTGGTCAGTCGACTCTCCGACGGCAAACGCTACAATGTTTTGTCATTCGCCGAAATTGGTATCAACAGCAACATTACTCGCACTTGTTGAAAAAACGAAGGTGCCAGTGGTCCAAAGGCTCCCGGGGTACTGGGAGCGGGTCATTGATAAAGAGAGATCTACTTGACTTGAAGCCTAAATAGTACCTTTCTTATCTGTTTTAATGTTCGTTTTTCATGAATAAAGCCTTCCACATTTTTGAATGGGATGTCCTAATACTTTCAGATACATACCACTGGCCCCCACAAATCCTATCCGCAGCCTCGTGGCGTGGGGGTGAACGGTTTTGGACTGTTCCAAAAACGTACCAATGCGGAGGGTGCCACGTCAGAGCCTGGCGAGCTACGCGTGGTTAATTTTCTTCTCGCCGAAAACAGTAACAACTATGGGCCTCATTCCCCTGAAGCTGAGGGAACCACCGACAGGGCGACGTCGGCTGGGACCGCTCGGACGAGGCTGCTAAAATCACAGGGCCAACGGAGATTTAAGTCGCCCAGGACTAGGATGACGATCTGTACTTTCAACGCACGGACGCTTGCATCGGAAGCTCACATCGAAGATCTGATGTTGCAAGCCAGGAAGATCAAGTACGACGTCATCGGACTGACCGAGACGAGGAGGCATCGCCCGCTACACGCCGTATACGAGACTGGAGAAGAACTGTTCCTCGGAACATGCGACAGCAGAGGCGTTGGCGGTGTGGCCCTCGTCAACACGCACTTGGCCATGAACATCGATTCGTACGAAAGTCTGACGACCCGAATCGGACGTTTGCGATTGAGAATGTGGTTCAACTCCAGCTTTGACAATCTTCGTCGCCTACGCACCAACATCAAGCTACGACGAGGATGAGCTCGAAGCGTTCTATATGGAATTGGAGAAGTTCTACAAGGAAGATCATACCTTCTTCAAGGTCATCGTCGGTGATTTCAACGCTAAGATCGGACCAAGAAGAACGGCTGAAGAACTTCACATCGGAACTCACGGAACGGAGTGGAATGAGCAGGGTGAAAGGCTGTCTGAGTTTATCATGTCGACCCACACCATCCATGGTAACTCGCAGTTCCAGAAGCCCTACTCTCTACGCTGGACATGGGAGTCTCCTGGTGGTTCCATAACGAGATCGACCACATCATCTGCAATCGAAGGTTTTGCCTGACCGATGTCGCTGTTGTCCCTAAGTTCTACACGGGATCCGACCATCGTCTCCTTCGCGCAAGATTCCGCTTTTCGATGCGAGGAGAGAGAGCCGCAAAGTTCAAGAAGCGAAGCCCAAAGACCTTCATCAACTGGGATCACTTCACTTCTCTCGCTGGGCTCTGGGAGGATTCTGTCATCGACAACATCGACGAGGAATACGAACGGCTTGTTGCACATCTTCACGACTGCGCCAAGAAGTCAGAGGGTTCCAAGATTACCAAGAAGCGTCTATCTCTGGAAACTCTCGAGCTGATTCGCCAACGTGGAGCCGCACGAGCCGCAGGCAATTACCAGCTGACGTCTGAGCTTGCGAAGCTATGCAGAGAAGCGATAAAGGAAGACCTCAAGGAGAGAAGAGCAGCAGTACTGGTGGAAGCCGCAGAGGCTGGGAAGAGCATACGCAACGCCCGCCGCGACTTCGCCAACTGTAAGACCAAGATGACCGCCCTCCGACGTCCGGATGGAACAATCACCGCATCCAGAAGGGCAATGGAGAAGGTCATCCACGACTTCTACTCGGATCTCTTTGACAGCCACGTCCACCTGCAACCATACCGCTTGGAGCAGGATGGATATGTCGTTCCTGCAGTTCTCTCTTCCGAAGTCCGACACGCCATCTCGTCGGTGAAGAATCGTACGGCACCCGGTCCCGACAGGATCAGACCCGAACATCTGAAGAATCTTCCGCCAGTTCTCGTCAAAACTCTGGCTCGACTCTTCACGCGCTACCTGTCGGAATGCAAGGTACCCACCTCGTGGAAAACCAGCAAGACTGTGTTGCTGTACAAGAAGGGAGACCTGTACGACATTGGCAATTATCGCCCAATCTGCCTGCTGTCTGTAGTCTACAAACTCTTCACACGAGTCATCCTGAACAGGATTGGCAGAACACTAGACGAAGGACAGCCATGCGAGCAAGCAGGGTTTCGAAGAGGATTCAGCACGATCGATCACATCCACACGGTAACGAAGCTCATCGAAGTATCGCGAGAGTACAAGATGCCGCTATGTCTCACGTTCATCGACTTGAAGAAAGCCTTCGACTCCGTTGAGACAGAAGCGGTTATCGAAGCCCTGGGCAACCAGGGTATTCCTACTCAGTACATCAGGATTCTTCGTGAGCTCTACAGCAACTTCACGACCAAGATCTCACCATTCTACAAGGAGATCATCATTGATGTGAAGAGAGGGGTCCGACAGGGCGACACCATCTCGCCCAAGCTCTTCAGCGCCTCTCTCGAGAACGTCATGCGTCAACTGGAATGGGAAGACATGGGAGTGAAGATCGACGGTCGGCAACTACACCATCTCCGCTTTGCTGACGACATCGTTTTGATAACACCAAACATCGAGCAAGCGGAACGAATGCTGGCTGAATTCGACTGCGCGTGTGGAAGAATCGGTCTACGGCTGAATCTAACGAAGACGATGTTCATGAGAAACGGATTGGTATCTGATGCCCCATTCACGCTCAACGGAACGACCATCTCTGAATGCTCTAGCTATGTGTACCTAGGTCGTGAAATCAATATGATGAATGACCTAGCTCCAGAGCTGAGCAGGAGGAAGCGAGCGGCTTGGGGAGCCTTCAAGAACATCGAGGGAGCGAAGAAGACGAAGAACACCAAGCTCCGTGCCCACCTCTTCGATTCCGCGGTCCTTCCTGCCTTGACGTACGCCTCAGAGACTTGGACTCTACGAAAGCAGGATGAGCATGCGGTCGGTGTTATTCAACGCGCCATCGAAAGGGCGATGCTCGGAGTTTCCCGCTACACGCAAGTGAGAGAGGGAATCCGGAGCTCCGCACTCCGCCAACGATCGAAGATCAGAGACGCCGCCGCATTTGCCAAGGTTTCGAAGATCAGGTGGGCCGGACACGTCATGCGTTTCGAGGACGACCGCTGGACCAGAGCAGTCACCGACTGGATTCCACGGGATGTCAAGCGAACGCCTGGACGACCGCCTATGCGATGGTCAGACTTCTTCGTGAAAGCTCTGAACGAATGGTATGAAGTTCATCGTGTCCCTCGAGCTGAGAGAGTTCATTGGGCAACTCTTGCACGTTGCAGGGACGAATGGAGACGTTACTGGCGCCCGCTCGAGGAACTCGATGATCAACGGGAGCACAGGTGATACATACCACTGGCAAGCTACGTTAGTTCATAACAACTTTATTCATTGTTCCCGTATTCGACCGTAATAACGACTTTCTAAGAACAAAAAAGTATACCACGTATTAGATTGGCGGAAATGTTTTGCCACATCACTGTTTGCACTTTTTTTGCGAAGCTTTATTATTGCAGTGGTATGGAATCAAGTGTGTAGGCCATCGATGCAGTGGTTCCTAGCAGCGTTTGAGCAGCTTATGGAGTTTACGACATCCCTCCCTGACTACCGGTAGGCACGATACAAAGTAATACGTCAACTCGATGGGCTTGGATCTACCCATTCAACGAGTACTTTTGGAAAACCCCTGATATCCGTAAGAAAAAATGCCTAGGCTCTACAGAGAAAAGGGGAGACTTTAGCTGCACTGCATGAGTTTCCAGCTTACCCTTTTCCGGAAAAATATAGTCTCCGTAGGCGGAGGTGGTGTAGTGACAAGTGGCGCGCTTACCCTCGCGGCGCCGGGTTCGAATCCCGGGTCGACACCCGCCCAGGCCAACCAAGCCTTCTACCCTCCGGGGACGGTAAATTGGTACCAGATTCGTCTGGGAGGATAAAACACTGACTTGTACATGGCCACCGCAAGTCATTGTATAGGCCACATCGCATTCAATAAGCCACTACGATTCTGAATGGAAGTAGAATGCGTGCCGCATCCCAAGGGATTGATCAACGGCGAAGACTTTATCCTTTATCCTTTTATATAGTCTCCGCTGTCATGGTGGAGGCAGGCACGAATTTTCTCTGCAGCTCCAAAACTGGCTTCCGATCTTCACCGGGGAAGATCTCCCACTCGGGGGGGGGAGGAGGCATGATCCTCATACCAATCCGTTCATTTTGGTCCCGGCAGCTTCCGCGCACGAGCCAAGGGGTAGGGAGAAGATGCAGGCATAGTGTAGATGGTGACTGTCTGCGACAAATAAGTTCTCTGTAATTTAAAAAGTAAGCAAGGATAGCAGGGGTATTAGTTTGGGTAGTATAGCTCGCCCCTTGGTTCCTGTCTTCCTTTCCGAATGAAGAGCAAGTATTTCAAGTCCAAACAGAAGACACAACTTCTCCGCCAGCCTAATACTTCGTGAACAATTGTGACAACATTGAGCATGCATAAATAACTTATATAAAGGCCAAGTACATGGCAAACTCATTGATCATAGTGAAGAGTCCAGGAAGATGATCATTTCCTAGAAATTTAAAGCTCATTTTCATAATACTCGTCGGCAATCATCAGCTCGCGAACGTATTCTGATGTGGATTCCTCCTTCTGGCTTTTCTCCAAAGCAAGAAGTCGTTCTTTCAGAACTTCATCGAAAATGGACTTCCTCCATGTATGTTTCGTTGGAGAATTCTTAGCCAGCCTCTTGTACCTGGCCCTCTTCTTTATGAAATTTCTCCTCCTCTTCGTTTCTGCCATCCTCCATGCATTCACGTGCATGGTTGCCATCAATGAGCAGAGAGGATATACCGACAACGGACTGAAAAAATGGTTATCATAACAGCTGCAAAAAACCTCACAAAGAAGGTCACTATGTTGCCATGGCCATCCAAGACAGGATGCCTGAAGCTACATCCCTGTTTGTACTGACTCTGAATCTGACATCCAAATCTGCCCAACGCTTTTGCAAACGGAGTTATGAAGGTTTGTTTCATTGCGGCTCAGAGCTAAAAGATTGTGGGATTGGAATTTGCTATACTCAATTTTTTCTTTGCTTTGCAGCGATGAGGTTACAGCCATTTTCACATCGCATTTACCTCTCTGCTGCCTTCATTACCAGGAATAGCGCCCTGTAGCTTAGGCAGCGTTCAGACTTCGCGATGGCAGCGCTTCGGTCGCGCGTTCGACGCGATCGATGCAGTCGAAAGCATGCGCATCGATCGTCGAATCGCGCGACCGAAGCGCTGCCGTCGCGAAGTCTGAACGCTGCCTTATACATAGGCTAGGGCTAGCCGGGCGCCAATAGCGCTCACTAGAAGGTTCACTTGCTGTGATTTCGCGCTCAACGAGTATGATATTCACGATGAGAGGGTAAAACAATCCCTAAAGACAAGTATCTACAGGGCACATCATTGGTTGGGGATTTTAGTCGACTACGACCCCCTCCTTTTTTGGGAGTTGGTACGACCCTCCCCCAGCCCTCTGTCCTTCCTCATCGAATCGAGCCGTCGAGCGGGGGGGGGCATATAGTACGTGAAACAGGAAAATCACCAAAAGTCAACCGCCACTCCCACAACGCCAAAACGTAAATACGACCCCCCTCCCAAAAATGATCAAATACGACCCCCCTCCCTTTACAACGTCCATGAAGCGAGAAAAATCAACTATCAAAATAAATTTTTCTCAGCCCAAATACGACCCCCTCTCCTGGCGACCAAATACGACCCCCCCCTATTGGGGATTCCCCAACAGAGTATCTAGCCGAATGTGAGGCTTCAATCCAACCTGGAAAACAGTGCGCACCCGATGAATGGTGGCCCGCAATGCCTGTGGAAGAAGTCCAAGCGTTGACCTGACACTGAAGCCTCATCTCTCAACTGAACTTTTCAATACTACCAGTGCCGAATAATTGCTCGCCAGAGGTAAAATGATCAAACGGTTGCCCAAAACGGTGTTGTAATCGCCAAGCACACGCTTCAAGAAATGCAATGCAAGAGCCCTGAGGATCCCAACTTTCATACTGTTTCTGAGAGTTTGTCCATTCACCGGCTGCGCTATCGAAGCAAAATCGCTAAGGCTGCGTTCATACTTTGCGTCAGTCTTTGCTAGCGTACGGCAGCGTCTTGAGAGGTTCACCAGCGCCAGCAACTAAGAAAGTGTAGATATCTTACCCGATATGCGCAGCGCACCCGCCACTGTCCACGCAGAACGCCAGAGATGTGGGGAATGCGGGAGGAGCAGCCCACGAAATTCGGCGTGTGCAGCAGCCGACCGTTCAACTTCACTACACCGTACATCAAGACTGCATAATTCTGTGCTTTAACAGTTGCACGGTGTGCTGCACACGCTGCAATTCCACAACGCCTGATTCAGCAGTCTGCTAATCTGCTACCTTCCCATACTATCCACTCCTGGTGGACGCTCGTACGCTGGCGTACGCTCGAAAAGCTCAAGACGCTGCTGTACGCGGCGTACGTTGACGCAAAGTATGAACGCAGTCTAACATAACCAAGGATTCTAGGAGCGTGTCGAAATCGTCCAGAACAGGCTAGAGAAGTGCCTACAACTTCGGTACTTTCGCAGTACAGCAGATTAGGAAGCCAGCTTCGAAATCAGAGTCCGGAGACGCATGTAGAAAAATTCATCTCACTTTAAATGGCCATGGCAAGCTGGGGTTCCCTTGTGTGGAAAAATTGCTGAACTTACTACAATATGTTTTTCTTGTAATAGAACCTATCCATGGCCTTTTGGATGTCATATATTACAGTATCTCCAAAGGGGCTGACATCTGGGAGATCCTTCTGGAAAGACTCCGTCAGTACCACGTTCTGGAACCTCTTGAAGGCTTTGCCTTCGAGCATCAGAGACTCGTGACATGGCCTTGAAACAGGATCGTGATAACATTTCGTATATGGTCCCGTTAATTCTTCCTGAAAAACGTAACTGTAGACACAAGGATGAAGTTTTGAAGGATAAATCACAACCTGTGGCCATTTGTGGACGCCTCTAACATGCATGAGGCACGTATTAAACATGGGAGGTACTTTCAAGTCATAATTTATTCCATGTTCAATCGTACGCCATAGGAATTTTGTGATACGTTTATGCCACGCTCCAATCTCCTCGCAACCATGATGATTCGCAGCCTGCAATATATACCCGCAGTCTTGTTCACTCGGATGCTGGGGCGTTTCAGACGGCTGGATTTGGCGCGGCGCGGCGTTAGCGCGCTCGCATCAACTGTGGCCTCATGCTCACTGCTCACGAACAACTCCTGTTTCTATTTTCAAGAGCTTCCATGCAGAAGCTGGAAGGCGACAAATGGTGTAGAGCAGGCTGGCGGCGCCAAACAGACTCTCTGAAACGCCCCGGCGTCCGCGCCGAAAACACTACCAGTTACGCCATAATCTCCGTATGGCGCTGAAGGCCCAAGTGGCACCGCAGCGTACAAAATTAAATAGACTCCACACAAGATCTTGGCATCAAATCAAATAGGTCAGGCAGCTGCGTCCTAGACCCTTCAATTCAAGGCATTGGTTAAAAAAATCAATAACTGATAATTTGACAATAGACCGCCTACTTTCATTTCACCTTTTAAGATCAGTGTATGAACAGATGTTATCCTATAATTAAAAAAATAGGATTATGGAGAAGATCTGACAAGGATTCTCAAAAAAGGGCAGGGAAGGGAGCAATTTATCGATTGTCGATTTTTTTAGATAAGGTCGCCTAATTTAACCAGATGCGAAAGATGCAAAATAAATATAAAAAATAGTTCACAAGCCAGAACTACGAGTTTGGAACCGCAATGTCGCCATTCGGACCTTCTGAACTGACCCAAGTACAGCCCTCTTCTCTGCGGACGCGGGGCCTGTCAAGGGGCCGGGTTTCTACGGCGCCAGCCTCTTCTCCACCAACTGTTGAAGCATCAACGATTGCATAAAACAGGCTGGTGTCTGACAAGCCTCAGCGTCCGCAGGAAATAATACTGTATTAATGACCTCCACTCTTCGTCCACCTACCTTCTCAAGTTCACACTCGAACCACTTCAACAAGTGACATCCAGGAGAGAAATGACGGATTGTCTCAACATTTTCCTCGATTTTCTTTTTTAGTGGATTAACCAAAGGGCTTCCATTCGTTGTGAGAGAGACCACCGATAATCCAGCTGATGACAGCATTCCAAGCGAACGCTGGAAGCCTTCAAGTTTCAGAGGACTGGCGCTTTTTCCTTAAATCGTTGCATTCACCTCAGTTGTATATTTTATTGAAGCCAACGTACCGTTTCGCGATCGAAGGAGTAATTCAGCATGTAAAATAAGTTTGCTTCGTCCGTCAGCTAGTACTACATTCCCCATCATGGGGTGATGGTCGCGACTGTCTCGCGCACCATCTGCTGTCAAATGGATGCCCTCCCGTCCCTAAAATTAAAAGAGAGGTCTCTAGCAATCAATCAATCATCAGTTAAAGGAGAGAGTTAAAGGCAGTTGGCACGATAGAATCCCTCAAGACGAGTAGGATTAATACGCCTGGTAGGACGGAATTCCGCGACCCTGCGCAGGCGCGCTGCAAGGGAGCCCTTATAAAGGCTATGAAGCTACAACATAACGACCCGAAACGCCCGCCCGCCCACAAATGGACGACCGTTCCTGACGCTCGTACTGCTTCATTTGCTAAGTAAATTATGAAGCGAAGGGATTGGTATGAAGCGGCTGTGATGCTGCATGGATATATGAGTACACACATGCAGCCGTATTTTCGATAGCGGTTATTGGCAAGATGCCTACGGGAAACTCGAAATCGATTTTCAAGTCATTGAGAACGGAGGCTTTTCTTCGCAGGATTTTGACCGTTTCACTCCGTTCTTTCGCCATTTCCCCACTATATAGCGCCCTACTAGCATTTTAGGCCGAGCACCAAGTAATCGTGCCAACTGCCTTTAACCACTGAGTTGTAGCAGAGCAACTTTGCGTAGGTGAAATAAATAAAACAATATATAAAATGCAAGATATACCTCGAAATTGGTATACTGGAATGTGATCTCTTCAAATACAGGTGTCTGATGAAGAAGAGCAACCTTCTCAATGACTGGTTGTACCCATTCGAAAACCTTCCACAAAAATGTTCTTCGACGGCAGCGGCAGGTTGAACTGTTTCGCCCATCGTTGGAGATCCTGAATTACCGACTAAATTTAGAAACAGCGCTACAAGGTATTGAGCACTGGAAGAACTGTACCCCTAGAATTTTTATGAGTGGGCCGCTTAGAACAAAATCGTGGGAATCGGGGTCTAACATTTCAGGAGCTATTCCCATAACCAGTGAAAAAGAAGCCGAAGAAACAGATGAAAACGCCCAGTCAAGGCCTGGATGGTTTTGGTTTGTGGTCAACTTCTGGATGGAGCCATGAGTTCTGAATCATGTTCTGAACAGGGACAACGCCCAGCGCCACAGCGAGAGCCACTCAGACCCACGACCAAAAAGGGCGAGAAAAGCGAAATAGCAATCTTACAATAATGTGCAAAATTTCCGACCTTTGCAAGCCATTTGCAGGCTGTACTCTCGAATGGCAAAAGTGCTACGCCCTGTGCAGCTTTGCCCCACACAAAAGCGATCCCATCTTTCAAGTAGCCGCGGAATGTGCCTTCAGTAAAGACACATCCACAGGATGGGTGTAGTGTGAATGTTGCGGTGCTGCAATTGGTGTCACGTGCGCGGCATTCGCACCAACATCTGGTCGATTGAGCGTGAAGTGCTCGAGCGCTTGTGCATGCGCGCATTACTACCCCGTGGTCTCGCTACCACGGCTCCAAAGCCGCTCCTGCTCAGAAAACCAGTCTTCTGCCCTCCAAAGACGGTAAATTGGTACTGAATTCACTCGCGAGGGTATGAACACTGACTTATCCATCGACTTCCTCGCAAATCATTGTATGGGCGATTAATTCTGAATGGAAGCAGAATGCGTGCCAAAAAGGGATTGATCAACGGGCAAAGATTTTCATCTTTATGTGCGCGCAATGTGACCCTCTCATTGGATCCGAACCACTCTATCAGGATAAGTTGATCTTGTTTTACTCTTAATAGCATTCAACTATGGTCCCACTCAAAAGCCAACATTAAAAGGCCCAAGAATTCAACCTCGAACTTCCCAAACGTTTCAAGCTACTGACTGTAAACAATTCTTCGAAATTGTAATAAACTCACGATGAATGGAAGTCCAGTAGTGACAGCAGCGACCGATGTTCCAACATTGCTCTTGTACGTCTGTTCACTCTTGTGTGAGACAGTTTTTTGTTGACTTTCCCACTGCTTGATTTCTGTGCTTTTACAGAAGGGGCATATGAACTTCACAACAGCGACCGTATCAACGGCCGTCAGTTGCACTTTCTCCAGCTTGAATCCACATTCCGGGACAATATTTGAATAACCCTAACAGTATTTCTCCTTCAATAAGGTAACTTTGAGTGAGTGCAGCCGGACTGGTCGCCTCTTTAATCGTTCCTCCCGCAGGCAAGAAATCGGATGAGTCTGAGTCAGATTCGGGCACGTACTCGGAACAATTCTATAAAAATTGAAGTTAAAATCGGGTTTCTCTGTTGTAACTAGACAGTGAGGGCGCGTTCACACTTCGCGATCGAGCGAAGCGATTCGAACGCGCGACCAGGGCGATCGAATCGCAAGGCATGAACGCGCCGTGCTCAATTAGGTTACCGTTTTCTCTGAAGCTACTGACTCCACTTCATCGTCATCATCGTCATCATAATATACTTGTTCTTTGACATCCTCCTCTTCCAAATTAACGATGTTCGCCTCTTGTTGCCCTTCACTGACTAAATATTTCTCATCGACCTCGAAGGGATGTTCCCTCTCCTTCAAAGCGATCTGCCTCGATCTAAATGACTGAACTGTGCGTCACTTCTTCAACGCATTCACATGAAAAGAACAGTACCGGAACATCTTCAATTTTTCGCCAGGGCCATAAGTAGGTACCGTAGTAACGTCGCAGTACATCGTTGAGAAAATTCCACACGTCTTTTGGGGTTATTTCAACATCAACCTTCAATATTAACCATTATCAAGCTCACAATACATTCAGAAATATGACAACCCGTATAATAGAAAAAGTCCAATTCCGCTAGGGAGAGGGGTTTTGTAAATCAGCTATGGAATAACAACGAATTTTCCTATCCTTTTTCCTCTTTTTTCTAAGTAGGACGATATTTACCATTATTGCCATAAAATGCGAAGACGAGGTTATAAGCGCAGGAATGAAGAGTAAGCTCCAAAGAGGTTCGTGTGAAGGCTAAAGTAGTTCGGGAAGGGCGCGGCAGAGAAGGAAGTAAGTCGCCTTCAACCAGAGAAGGCCTAGCACAGCCGACGAGCAGAGTTGAAGCGGCTTCATCTTTCTAGGGCGGACTTATAGAATCATTCGCTGCAGATGATGAGGCGTGTCAGAGGGTCGGACTTGGCGCGGCGCCGGCTAGTACCCCACCGATTGTGGAAGCTGGCAAACGACCACAGTTGGTAGAAAACGGACTGGCACCGCGTCGTACCTAGCCCTCGGACACGTCAGAACATCCGCAGCGAACAAGACTGAAGTCGCACTGCACTGTTCCTCGTCCATCCTCTCCCTGAATCACATTGCGCCGAGGGTTTTTGCCTGAACCTTTTGAGAGGGAACTCCAAACTGGGTGAACCAATCATTTCCAGAAGAGGTTCACAATAAAAGAGTGTCGTCAGCGGTTTTAACGTCTAGTGTTCTCTGCTAGTTCGGTGAACTGTGGTCAAGTCACGTCTTACGTCTGGGAATCCTCCACCGGGGGAGGGGGTCGTATCTAGTCGTTGGAAGGAAGGCAGGGCCATATTTGATCTGAGAAGATTTTTCCTGATGGCTGATTTTCAATGTTTGACGACCGGTATCCACATCTTTGGGCGAAACCATTTGGGGGGGTCGTGT